ATGCGACTCTTGAAATATTTATGAGCCTGCGTAATAAACTTAAAGATAAGGAACGTTCAAAATGCCAGCTATAAATTCCGACAAGTGATGTAGGGAGAACGAAAGAGCGAGATAAATTTATGTATAAGGAGTGAGATAGTCTGAGCAGATGGCCCAATAAAATGCTTTATACTTCCCATAATAAAAGCAAAAACTTGATTGTGCCTGAAACTCTTCGATTGAACTAAGCAGAGGGAACAAATAAATGTATGTACAGCAAAGCCTACAAGGGTGCTGCGATTTATACAATAATCTTGACTTGGCCAAGACGCAACGCATCGTTATATCCTGGAGCAAGGAATTGAATTGAAAGCGCTTACGAATATATGTTTTTATCACATTTTATTATACGTTGATTTACTTAACACATTTTTCACTTTTAAGAGAGAAATCACGTTTTAAGGTTTGTCACATCCATCGTTAATTTGTAAGAATTGATCGTTAATGTGCGTGCATCGTGCTTTGCATTCAAAATTATATTTTAACACGCGTGGATACTAAAGATACACAAGCTACAACGTAAATATCATTAAAAATCTAGAAAATATCCTAATCAAAATGCAGGTGAAGCCATTAAACTGTCAAGGTGCTCCGATCACGTTGTGGGGCCGTAAATTTACTAATCACCTACGACCAACCCTTAGAATATAATTTTGAAGTAACGAATGGTGTATTAAAAAAAGAACTTGATCAGGCTGGAATTATTTTACATGGAAAATACAAACACAAATTTCAAACAGAATGTACTGCGTTTCTATATTATAAAACTATAGTATGAGGTCTGGGCCATTTACTTAAATCGCTGACATATCCGGCACCGGCGCAGTAATTTCCGCTGCTCCCAGGAACAGAGAGGGTGTATGTGAGTGTGGAGAGGGTCGCCTAATGGGCAAACCCTAATGACCTGACATAACATTTCATAACGCAATTTAAGCTACCCAATGGAAAAAAGAGAATAAATTTGTTACAAAAATGATGCCATAAAAATGTACGAGTTTGTATTTGATTGTGGATTAACATAGAAGGATAACTGAAATCGAGCATGGGCAACATAACGAACGGGGTGGAGCTAAATTGGTCTGCCCCACCCCAAAAACTCCTCTTTAACGGGTATAGAAATGTATCTTTCGAATCTTTTTTTTTTTTTTTTTTGAACAAGTGCTACTATTCGCTTCATTGGCATCGTTTCCCATCGTCACAGTCGTAAAGATTTAATTGTATGGAAATCGTAAATGGCACGCAAAAGAACCAAGAAAAAGTTTTTATGAGCTTCGAGGGATACTGAAAATCGATGGATCTCCATTAAGGTAACTCAGAAACTCATACTCGCAACACCAAACCGAAATTCATCATATACAAATATATATATATATATATAAATGTATATTTCTATATTTCAGCTAAAAGTCCTATTAGGGTAAATCCACATACAAGGAACAATATAAGTCGTAGACGACAGCGATGACCTCAAAATATGATTCATATCGGCAATGACAGCAAACCAAGCAGTCAAGCAGCCATGTAGCCAGTCAGTCAGCGAGTTATGCCATGCCAATCCATTGAAGTTGATTGCTTTGAGTGGTTTTGGTTGTGGTTTATTAAGATACATACTTATAGAGCAAATTGTTCAATCGCTACGTCAATGTGAGGCCCATTAAAGAAAATGGGCCCTACTTTCGCATTGCAGAAATATCCATTAAGTTGTTTATTATTCTGTCAATGCCAATTTAATAATTATATCTGACTATATGCGGATAATAATAGATAAACAATTTCTTATTCTGTCAAGGAATCTGTACTAAGAAAGTAAATAATTTTTATCTACAAGACCCAAGTTTATTCAATATTCAATTTAAGAGTATATATGTTTTCTCGAATTTATGAAATGATATTCTTATTTACGTAGATGACAATGTTGAAAATCTTCAAAGTAACGTAATGTAAAAACCACAAGCTAATGAAGCGGTCGACTACGTGCACAGGCTATGAATCCAGGCCTATAGGGAGGGACGTATCGTGTACCATGTGCCTGCCTCAAATGCTGGCGACATTGGACATTGTGGGTTTAACGGTTCAAAGAGCTGAAGAGCTGGTCTCTGGAGCTTACCAAAACCGCCGACGTTGCTGCCGCTGCTTCTGCTGCTGCTGCCGCTGTTGCTGCTGCGGTTTGTGGTTCTCTCTGTGCCCTATGCAATTGTTTGTGCTCCCGGGCCGTGACATGAACGGCAAATCTCCACACCATCAACAACATAAGTCTTATTCAGATACATTTTCAAAAATGGCGACGGCATACCACTGTTATAGATACAAAACAGTTAAGCCGCAGGGGTCCAAAACGTGATGCAGTTGCAATAAAATTTTATCTTGGCTTATGCAGTTGCAGGCGTACCGTCAAGACGATGGGCGTGGCACAGCTGTCGAATGCAACGCCCAAAGCTTTAGATTTTTGCTTACGTTTGAGGAGAAGGGTGCTTTAACTATTTTGCCGTCTCACTCAGGATTTATATATAAAGCTTATGAAACTTTGCACAGATGCTACAATACGTATCTTTGCCCCGGTCCACAGCATGACATGCGCTTCAATTTAAAGTTACGTCAACTTGTGTTGCCGCTGGCTGTTTGCCTGTCTTTTATTGTGCGTTATAATCCGATTTATGTGATCGGATTATGTCCTGCGTAGCGCCTAATCCCTCCATAGTTGGGCGTCCGGTGACATGTGTAGCCTATGCGGAGCGGAGCATATCGTCCTATATAGGCGGGCCACCCTCTTCACAGTTCAACTGATCCGTTCGCGTAGTCAGCTTCAATTATACTCGCTCTATAGCTGGATTAAGGTCCCAGCCACGCCCCACTCCCAGTTGAGGCGGAAAAGTAATTAAAATGTGTAACTGTTGAGTACGTACACACACTCACACAAATTACACACAGCTCAGGGCTTGACAGGTGCAGGGCACAAGTGGTGCCTGAAAGTGAAAAGAGACTTTTCCAAAGATCTCTTCGTTAAGATTGCCGCGCAATAAAGTTAATTAGAAACTTTTGGGTAACGCTCAAGCGCCTTCCAGCTCATTCCCCGTCCCCTTCTCTCATCGGTCATCGCCATTTGCTTTGCTTGCATATTCTAGTGAAATTAGAGTTAATTGCACCTCATTAAAACCAAATTCTTGGAATTAATTTTACGTTTCGTCGAAAAAAAAAAAAAGAAAAAGCAGCAACGCAAAGCCAATAAACAAAATGGCCGCCTCTCCACCGAAACTCAGCAGTTCCCCATTCATTATAGTGTCAGATTCAACAAATAATTACAGCCTACACCACACATACACATGAACACACACGTAACAGCTGAAAATATCATTAAAAGTAATCGTCCAACTAGCCCAAGGATGACCTAGAGAAATGCAATAAGCTGAAGTCCTACACGATATTTAAACACTCATTCAGATAATAATATGCTTTACTTTAAAACCATCTCTCTTACATAATCAGTCATATTTTAACTCGAGTTCATTTAACAGATAATGAATGTATCGGAATCTTTTTATATCAAACGCTTAGCATTTCGTATTAGAAACAAAGAAAGTCAATGTTTCTTATTTTTACGTCAACCTGAATTTGATCTATCATTTATTCATCATTTCAATATTTCATTCCAAAATTATTATCATTTGTCTCTTTTGGCTTTCATTCCGTTCAAGCTCCAACGATCTCAGACAACTGTCAGTTTACATCTTAAAGATTCCGCATGAACAAGTGACAGTTGTAGAATAAAAGTGTATTTGGATAGGAATATATATGCTTAGGTTTCTCCTGAAGCTGTCGATAGGTACTGTCGACGCCATTTTGCATTTGCCGGTCATTTTGAAGTACTTTAAACTATTACAATTCCTTAAAATAGTTGAGAGCACATATTTTGACACTTATCATTTCAAATAAGTGAGTGAGATAGCAAATATGAGAGGAAAGACGCAGGTTAAATGTTGCTGACCATATGACGGGCCAAAGCAGACGACCGAGGCCATGTACAGCACCCTTAGAAGCAAACAAAACACACATATATATAAGTATATATATATATATATACATGTATGCAATAGTGTGTCGGCAGTTGCATGATTGACGGTTGGATTGAATGAGTGCACGTCATTTACAGCCGCCACTAGTAGCCTCATGTGCAAGTGTGAGCTACGATGGCTCATCTCCCACTCCAATAGCACTCAAAGTGTCTACGCCACTCGGAACTTGTATTTGTGAATCTGAATATCTAGAGGAGCTCACGTTCATGGCGCTCAAGCGCGACGAGACCGCAGCAAACACAGTAAACAGCAAACACAACACAAACACACACATGCCTTGAAAGAGGCGAGTCATTCTCAGTCCGCTGCAGCTGATCTTGATGGAGAGCACTCTGCGGTACGAAAAGTGTGAGAGAGTAAATGAGTGTGTATTCATGTGTGAGTGTGTGTATGTGTATGGCAGTGTGAACAGTTGTTGTTGCCTTCTCCGCTTTGTAGTTACATATTTGCTTTGCCTTTCACACCGAACCAGCAAAACCAGAAACCGAACAACAAACAGCACGAGACTTGAACACGAAAGTGAAACACAATTTTAGCAACGTCTGTGTGCTTTTGCATACATATGCAAGTGTGTCTTTGCCTGTGTGTTAGTGCGTATGAGTTTCTTAGCATTTGTTTGTTGTTATAGCATGGGAAAAGATAACGAACAAAATTGCACGAGACAATGGATATCCGTATTGTTTACGATTAGCTGCGAGCGTATATATGTATGTATGTATTTGTTTCAATGATAAGTTGTGTCAATCGTCACTCTGATGATTCAATAGATTTGAGAGCGGAGCAAGATAACAACTATTTCTTATCATAACGCAACACGTGTAGCCCTCTAGCAAGTTATTAACCTCATACACATAGAGATAAATTAAAAGTGAGACCAGCTCAGCAACTTACCCGCTTCTCGGCACTATCGCAAGGATTACCAACCGATGAGGATGAGGAAGAGGATGTGGATGTTGTCGCCGCAGTGCTGGGCAAATGATTTGGCGGCAGCACATCCGATGCCACCGAATCCAATTGCTCCTGCTTGATGCCGGCGATCAGGGGGAGAAAGTCGTTCTTAAGATTTTCCAATTCCAAATCCATTGTATGTTTATATATTTTATTTATTTTTGCTTCTATTCAGAGTATGTCAATCTATGTGAATGCTGTATCGTGTACGTGGGTATGCGGTTTCGGTTTTGGGTTGTTATCGTGGGCGTAAGCTAATTTTAGCGCGAGAATTTTGTATTCACCAGCAGTTGGCGCCCTTGGTGAACATTTTTAGTTATATTAGGATCTCTATTCCATTTCATTGTTCATTCATTCCCGACAGGCGCAAGCAAAGTGGCAGCGGTACAAAAACAATGCCAAATTGGCCGTCTGCACACACGTACACAGACACAACAATACATTCACGAGCTCGCACACATACACAAACAAGTCACCTTGTGCACAAAAAATAGTTTCGCTTTCGTATGACTCTTAAAGGTTTAATGTTTTACACAGCTTACTTTTAATTAATATTATCATCTTACAATACTTTTATTTGTTTATAAATGTATTAACAATTTAATGTATTATCAACTTCAAACGGTTTGCAAATTTTTTCTCTCTACTCTTTTTGCACGAATTCCCACGGAGGCAAAAACTTTCATTGAAATGTTCACATTACGCTTTATTTTCCTTTCGCGACTATATTGCACAGCACTGCGTTGTTTTATTAGCGTTTGACGCTTGGCTAGCGCAATTGTTTATTTGATATTCAAATTAATATTTGTATTTATTTTATTGGCAATTAATTGCTAGGAAAACACACGGTCACGGCGTTTACTCTCCTTGGACGCTTCTTCTGTACAAAAATTTTCTACTCGCCATTTTGGATTGAGCAGCGTTGCCAGAGTTTTGTCAGTTGCGAGTAGCCATACACGTTCAGTCCTCCAAATGTTCATAAATTGATTAATGTTAAATTAATTTATGAAAAATGTATATTTAAAAGATGCATATAAGCTGAATTAATTTTTAATAATACTTTATTTGATATATTTCGTAATTGATATGTTTAACAGCTTGTTAATTTGAGTTTTATAATAACGGTAGGGCTGTAGCACTTCAGACTATCATGCAGCAGCTGTGTTTTATTACCAAGAACGGCACACGTGTGAGGTTGTGTTTGTTGGTATATTACATTTTCAAATTGAATAAATGTTTAACCACATATTGGGCAGCTACACTAAGGCAGGTGAATTTAGTATTGCAATTTTATCAAACACAGTTACAAAAATCTGATTTTGTCCTGCAGTTAGCCTAAGAAAATTGTTGCAAGCCGAAGTAAGCCGGCATAATTTGTATTCGCGTAAAAAATCCTTCGCGATTGCTATGGCTGAAGCACTCGACAAGCTGGAACAGGAACGGGAGGCAAAAAAGGTCGCTAAAGAAGCTGAGGACGGATCTGTAAAGGAAGTTAATCGCTTGAAACGAACTCTTAAGCGAAAGAAGTGGGTGGACTGGAAGGCACAAGATGAGGAAGATGCTGCAAACGGAAAGAAGCGCGCTCCATTTGATCCCGCAGATCGCATTAAGCGAAAGAAGAGCGCTATACTATTAAGCTACTGCGGTGCCAACTACTATGGCATGCAAAGAAATCCGGGTATGCAGACTATTGAGGAGGAGCTTTTCAAGGCAATGCTTAAGCACAAATGGATAACAGAAGACTCCTTTGAACAGGTGCAAATAGCTTGCTTTCAGCGGGCCGCACGTACCGATAAGGGTGTCTCGGCCGCTCGACAGGTGTGCTCCGTCAAGTTGCGTAAGTAATTCAACTATTCTGATTGGGCCTATTATAATTATATAAATTTCCTTGCAGCCGAAGAACTGGACCTAGAGGCATTCAATAAAGATTTACCAGAACAGATTCGTATCTTTGGTGTGGAGCGCGTGACAAAAGGTTTTAATGCCAAGGATCAGTGTAATGCACGCACCTACACATACACACTGCCAACCATAGCATTTGCTGCTTTCGATGATCAGCATGATCAGGAAACTTATCGCATACCAATTGAGCGCCTGGAGAAGGTCAGCGCGACACTGAAACTCTATGAGGGCACGAAAAACTTTCACAACTTTACCAGCAAAAAGTAAAGCAATCCTTTATAGTTATTTTACATTAATATTTACATAATTTTTGCGTAGGAACTTTTTAGATCCGTCGGCAAAGCGTTTCATTATGTCCTTTACATGCAGTACACCATTCCTAAGTCCGCAATCCGTTGAGTTTGTTACGTTGAAAGTAAAGGGACAAAGCTTTATGCTGCACCAAATCCGAAAAATGGTCGGCCTAGCCATTGCTATAGTTCGTGGCAATACCACAACTGCAACTCTGGAGCGTGCGTTAACCGAGGAGCGCCTGGACTTGCCCATGGCGCCAGGCTTAGGCCTCGTATTGGACACCGTTCACTATGAACGCTACAATGATCGCTATGGTAATGATGGCATCCATAAGCCCTTGACTTGGGCGGAGCAAGAGGAGCAAGTCACCCAGTTCGTAGAAAAGTATATCTACTCGAATATATACAAAACGGAGGCCGAGCAGCGAAACATGCTCGATTGGCTAAGCACCTTGCATTTCCACTCCTATGATACGAGGCGGGAGGAACCAGCGAAAATTAATAACGATGACGATGATGGGGAAGAATAGCCAATCTATTTATTTATAAGTTGACAATGCAAGACCAGTTGATAGTGTATATGTAATTGATACAAATTAAAATCATGCTGTTGGTTACGACTTAGAACCGTCCACCCTTCTTCTTCTTGTGGCCACCTTTGCGGTGTTGCTGCCTTGGGCCGGGCGTGGGCTCCTGGTAAACGGGCGTTGCAGGCGAGTTCTTGTTTAGATTGGCGCGATTGGACATGTCGCTGAAAATCGAAAAAGGTGTTTATACGAATCTTATGAGCAAGCTAAATATTTAACTTACTATTGATCAGCTGCACCAGACGCCATGCCCTGTGAGCCTTTGATAATATCCTTGGCACGGGCACCGCCACGCTTCTTACGGAATCCAGTGCGCTCATACTTGGGCAACCATCGTTCAGGATCGGGTGCGACCTCGGCATTGTAATTCTTAGGCAGTTTACCTTTGCGCTTGCGATTGCCACTCTTTTTCTTATCTGTTGCGGGTGTGCCTGGCGAAGGTTCAACTTTTGCATTGGCCGTCTTTTTAGCGGCCTTTGCTGACATCACCCAGTTGGCCGCCTCGAGTGCATCAATTTCGGAAGCCGTAGTCAATGTCTCCAGTTTAGGCAACTTGCGGCTTATCTCGAGCGCACGCTTAGGGTTAAATTGAGCATATGCAATAACTAGCTGAGCCAGCACTTTCATATCATTCGGTTTTAGCTTGAGCAGCTCCTCCAAGGAACTGGCCGCCGTCTCAGAGGCGCCACCACGTAAATGGAACTCTGCCGCCTGCCGCCACATGTCCGACAAATCGCCGCTGCTCACATTATTCTGCTTATACCATTCGACGGCTGATTTAAGCAGCGCCGATGCGGCTGGCTTATTGTCGGTGCCCAAATAAAGAGATACCAACGCTGAGACAATACCAGGCTTGTACTTGGCTTCACCCAACGAGAGTAGAGTTTCGATAGCATCCTTACGATTACCCTGTCAAATATAAATAAATAATAACAAGTTTAAAAGAATGAAATTTGCGAAAGTGTAGAACGCGTCTCTTACTTGAAGCAATTGCAACTGTATGATGGCAAATTTGCTGATAAATTCATGCGTCTTGTGTGCACTGGCAAACTTGTTCAACTGCTCGATGGCCTCCTTGTGCTTCTTATCCTTGGCCAATTGACTGCAGCGTATGAGCAGAGCCTCGAACTCCACTTGCGGATAACTCTGGGTCAATTTCTGTGTCAACTGTTGCACTTGATCGCTGGAATTGGTATACAGAGCCAAGAGGCAATTATTCAGAGCTATTGTTTGCTTTTGGCGTGAGGTCAACTTTGGTTCACAGGCATCAGCCATGGCAGCGCGTATTTTCTTTTTTGAGTCAAAAACATTCTGATCCTTGTTGATAACCACCGTATTGTTGCTGGCAACTGCTACTAAAGCCGCATCCTTCGGTTTGTGGCGCAAACATTCTGCATAAATAACGCTGGCTTCCTTAACTTTTCCCTGCTGTTGCAGACAGTAGGCGAGCTGAACACGTATAACGTCCAGCTCTTCGAGTATCTCCTCCTCACTGGCACCTTCCTCTTCTAGAAACTCCCGACACAATTTTTCGCTGGTTCGCAGTTTGCGCTCGGCTTCAACGAATCTCTGGCGATTGGCCTGAATGCAAGCGCTATTGAAGTACTGCTCGTAGGTGTCTTCGGGTACTTCTGGAACGTCCTTATCCTTGTCCAATGCCAAATTGGCAGCCACTGCACTGAGATTAGTGCGTCGTTCATCCTCGTAATCATCACTACTGTTCTTGATGATCTCTTTGTACGCATCTAGGCAATCTTCATACCGTTCCAAACGATACAGTATTTGTGTGCGCAATTCCTTCAACTTCGCAGGCAGAGGCTGCACTGCAGCATCGTCAATGGTTTTCAGTGCCTGTAGCTGCTTATTTAGGCGATACTCACAGTACGCCTTCTCAAAAATCAACACAGAGGCCAGACGATTTTTCTCAATGAACTTATGGGCCTCATCGAACTTGGACAACTGCATCAGGCATACAACTTTACAGTGCAGTGCAGTTTGATCATCAGGTGCTACACCCAGTACTGAGATAGAATTGTAATTAAATGATTAAATTAGATTACACTTTGGCACATGTCTTGATACTCACTGCGATTAACAGCTTTAACCGCCTTATCATACTCCTGATTGCTGCCAAACTTGTGAACGTCGGCGTACGCCGCTTTTATAAGCGCCTCCTTGGCAGTTGTGTCTTTCGACATTATAATAACAATCCACAAAGAAAAACTTATTTGACACTGAACTTTCGCTCTGCTAGAAACTTTGACAGGTTGGACACATCAGCAACAATAATTTTGAGTGCTGCCACTGCAAGACTGTCAAACGTGTTGAGTTACCAGACTTATCTAAAAATATAAACGATGAACGGTCCCTGCCAACTGTATATCGATAACGATTAATTAACTATCAACAAAACGTACTCGCTGGCGACGCCTTTGCGAGGTCTATAGTGTGCGTGTTTTTTGTGTAAATTATTGCAAAATGTCGGCTGAAGTTGATTTTGTAAATAAAAAAGAAGTGCATCTCCGCACTCTGAAGCAGTCTGGACACGTAGGATTTGACAGTTTGCCCGATCAACTGGTTAATAAAAGCGTACAAAATGGATTCGTTTTCAACGTTATGTGTATAGGTGTGTATATACAAATGTGGGTGTATGTGTGTATATGCGGCATTGCCCAAGTGTGTATATATGTATGTGCAGTGAATCAACGAAGAGAAATGTGTGGAATTGTAATGAGTGCATTGCACACAGATTCTAAGCCACACAAGCAATACATGACTCACTAACATACATATACACATAATTTCTCAACCGTATGCATGCACGTACGCGGGTATGTATGTAAACAATTGAAATCGGCGCGAGCAGGCCGCAGCCGATTGATATGCAAAGTGTTTAGCAATCGATTTTCAATTTGCTTTCTACAATTTCACCATGATATCAGTGTTGAGAGGATTTGAAGGGCGTAAAATGCTAGATTGACAAAAAATGAAAGAAAATGCTAGAATGACTTAATGATTTAAATATGTATGATTCTAAACTATTTTTGTTTATTTATTTTATCAAAATTACTATAGATTTCATTTTATAATTTAATTTAATTCAGTCATTTTAAAATTAATAAATATATTTTTATTTATTTTTTTTTTAATTATCATAGAATAATAGAGAATAATTATAATAGAATTGGGAAAATTTGTAAAAATTTATTTGCAGCTATAGCCGAAATTTATAGTTCGAGATAACTTTGAGAACTTTGACGTCATAGATTTATACCCAAATGCTTTCCATAACACTAAAAAAAAGCTAGACATAGCCACAAAAAAGCTAGAATGGTAGTACCGCTTGACACAAATATATGTCTAGTGCCCAATTGAAGCCACTTATAATAACATTTTGAGCAATATGAGTAACATGTGTCTCTTTTCCCATTAGGCGAGACGGGTCTGGGTAAATCAACATTGATGGACACGCTGTTCAACACTAGTTTCGAGTCGACACCGAGCCCCCATACGCTGCCTAGCGTTAAATTGAAGGCCCACACTTATGAGCTGCAGGAGAGCAATGTGCGGCTAAAGCTGACGATTTGCGATACGGTCGGATATGGCGACCAAATCAATAAGGACGATTCATTTAAGGCTGTCGTCGACTACATTGATGCTCAGTTTGAGAATTATTTGCAGGAGGAACTGAAAATTAAGCGCTCCCTTGTGACGTGCCATGACAGTCGCATACATATTTGTCTGTACTTCATATGTCCGACGGGACACGGACTGAAGTCCTTGGATCTGGTCTGCATGAAGAAGCTAGATAGCAAGGTGAACATAATACCGGTGATTGCCAAAGCGGACACCATCTCCAAGGTCGAGCTGCAGCGCTTCAAGGCAAAAATAATACAGGAACTCAACAGCAATGGCGTCCATATCTATCAGTTTCCCACTGACGATGAGACTGTGGCGGAAACAAATAGCGTCATGAATTCGCACATTCCGTTCGCCGTCGTTGGCAGCACCGAGTTCATAAAGGTGGGAAACAAGCTAATCCGTGCTCGTCAATATCCCTGGGGCACGGTGCAGGTCGAAAACGAGACACATTGCGATTTTGTCAAGTTGCGAGAGATGCTTATCCGCACAAACATGGAAGATATGCGCGAAAAGACCCACACGCGACACTATGAGCTGTACCGGCAAAAGCGTTTGGAGCAGATGGGCTTTAGTGATGTTGATAGCGAAAACAAGCCTGTTTCATTTCAGCAAACTTTCGAAGCAAAGCGCTCGAATCATCTGGCTGAACTGCAGTCCAAGGAGGAGGAGGTGCGCCAGATGTTTGTGCAGCGTGTCAAGGAGAAGGAGGCCGAGCTGAAAGACAGTGAGAAGGACTTGCATTTGAAGTTTGAAAAATTGAAGCGGGATCATGCGGAAGAGAAACGAAAACTTGAAGAGGCTCGTAAAGCTCTCGAGGAGGACTATTTGGACTTTCAGAGACGCAAGCAGCAATTGGCCACAGCACATCACACACTGACGCTGGGCAAAAGCAAGAAGAAGTAAATGGACAGCATTAGCTTTAGCTATAAGCAAATGTCTTCGAGTATTTTGTGTGTTTTGCGTATCCCAAAGTAATTATTGCTTTTTCATCTCGTTGTATTTCATTTATGCTATTAAGTTTTCTTCAAATATTAATATATACACGCACCAACATACATACATATATATGCATACATACATATAAGTATGATTATTTACAACTAACGAATAAACGATATTAGTATTTTAAACTATGTAAATGAATACCGTTTTTTTCTGTGCTGTTTACCATAAACTCAACTCAAATGAACGAACTAATATATCGAACGACTTGCGAACTAGCTGAGTAGTTCCGATTGTTCATTTAATTCGGTGTATCGTTCAGGCTTGTACTGAACGATTGGGCAGCACTAACTTGCAGTTCTATAAAATAAACGAAAACGCAATAATTATTATTGCGAATAATTGATGTGCCGATGATTTAGTTATAGTTCTAACTACAAAGCAATTAAAAGTGTTCAACTTATTGTATACAATAAGAAAGTGACTGAAAAATAGGCGTAAAACAATTCGGAAGTGTGTGAGTGTATATGTGTGTAGTGTTTTTTGTTTGTTCATTGGGGCGGGAGTGCAGGTGCATTGTAAGCTATTTTTCATAATAACCGTAGTCGGAAATACCAGACGCCTAGTTGTTGCGTTGCAAAAATGAATAAAATTAGCAACACGGCGCTAGCGTTGACTCTAGTGCTATATGCCTCATTGCATACAGGTAAGAACGAGTCCAAATACCAATCAATACGAGCTCGTGCAACTTTAAATATTCTTTACAATTCTCATTTTTTCAAGTTTATTGTAAACATGTTGTTATTACCGCGCCACAACATGCGCTGATCGGCTCCACGGTAAATGTAAGCGCTACTTTATACGATGGAAGGAATATTGCAAACAAAGGTACCTATAGCTTCAGCTGGAAGGATAACGCTGGGCATACGAAGGTAAAAATGTTTTACAAATAGAAAGCGATGTTTGCCACATCAAGAATGGTGGCTGACGAGGCATATGTACATACGGGAGTTCAAAAGAAATTTGCTGACTAATTTTATGCACCCATAACGGGAACTGTAAGGTCTGCTTCGCAATGAACCGCACATGCCCTACGTCTGTCCCAAATTCAGTAGTTAGGGAAGAATGCATGAGTTGGATTTACTGAATGTGCACCGTATCAACCTTTTGCTAATTTATGTTTGTATATAAAACGCTTTTCAAAACGTTTTATAAGACTCGGTCGGTGATAACAATAAAGTTAATTTTAGATACCGCTTCAATGGAATATGTATATATGTACTCGATATCAAATTTAAAATGTAAATTTTTACAATCACTTGATTTGTAGGCAACCGTGCCTGGTACGTTTAGATACCCTACATAAGTGTAGGGTCTGGACTGCTTAAGCACATAGATTCGATAATATTTCATTAAACAATTCAGTTTCATAGATAACAATATTTTTGTATATATTTTGTATTATTATTAATGTTCCATACAGAAAAAAAAAAAACACAAACACATTCATTGTTCATCGCTATCGTATGTCATTAACACAATCAGAAATACACACACAAGATAAATGATTTATTTCTGTATATACTTGAGTTATCCCCTATATCCATACAGCTAGGCTTTCATGATTAATCTGCGTCACAGCTCTGCTATTAAAAGCAAACGTAATAGACGCTGATGCGCCCCTTTATTGTTAACTAAAGACTAATTACATACGTATTTCATTTGACTTTGTTGATATGTAGGAATTTGAAACATCGGAGCCATTCAGCAATTGGACTTTCAATTATGCTAACGACATAAGCAATCTGGGAGATCATCGTTTAGAAGTGAGTGTATCAGAGGAGAAGTTTATAGTTTGGTTTCCAGTTGCCGAAAGCACAGTTACTATCAGTGTAGTCAACACACTCAGCGGCAGTTTGGAACTTATACAGAATGATAAGCTGCGGACAAAGGACTTTGTATCCACGCAGGATTTAGTTAAACATAGAATTGAACTATGGCAAGCGGACTTGGACTTTTTGATAAGCAATCATTACTATATCAATACTTACTGGTTCAAGAACTGTACATATCTAGGAATGTCACATGTCTTCGAGTTTGAAGACATATATTCAGTGCCCGATCAATATTATAATATTGAGGCTCTTGTGGTAGCATCGCCAGATCCTCTGCCAGAGCCAACAACATCTACAACAACCACTACAACCACAACGACTACTACTACAACGACAACCACCACGCCCGCAACTACAACTACAACGACAACATCCACGTCCACTTCTACAACACCAGCCACAACATCAACAACAACACCAAGCACGACATCAACAACAACCCCAGCAACAACATCGACAACAACATCAACGACACCAGCAACGACAACTAAGCCTTCGCGGTCTAAGCGGGACGTTAACCAAACGATGCATGCAAACGCCAAGCTACTTGGTATAAATCTTGCAGCCGCTGTTAAGCAGGAGCTACAAAAACAAAACATCACCGGTGCTACATCTGTTGCCCTGTTCAATCCGTTGGGTGTGCGGAAGCTGAAACTGCTGCCTGTTGCAGCACCGCCACACACTTGCATAGACGGCAAAGTTGTTGCCCAGGATGCGAGCAAGATGTACGGTTACTTTAACCGGCGAGTTGTCTCGAAGAGTATGTATAAGTTTCAACTATTGCATGTAAAATGTATTTAATAATATTTGTTCCAGCGCCCATCTCTGGCTTTAGCACTAGCGGTAAAAACTGGGTGCAGCATTGGGAGCTGATTAATTTACAAATCACCTGCAAAGGCTCCCCGCCGTACGAGGTGTGCACTCAATACTACAATGGTACGTATTAATATTGCATAATGTACTAGAATTATTTATTAAGAACTACAATATATAATTTGATGGGAACTTTCGTAGATTGGGTATCATCTTTAGTATAGCATAGAATATATTAAAAGAGATTATATATCATCCTTTTTTGACTGATATTGGATGAATTTTTGAAAATGATTATTAACTGACGCACTTTGGTTTTTAGCGCCATACAACGCTACGGGCAACGAGACGTGCAGCTTCTATGACAGTTTCGATAAGTGTGATTTTAACTTCGCTCGTTATTTTGCTGACAGCAAGACGATTCTGTTTTTCATCCGCAATGAAGTCTCGGCAACTCTAAATCAAGTTACTGTTAACATCTATGAAGGTTGGTAAAATAACCCCGAAACTATTTATAATTTTATCGATTTGATTAATGTGTTTTCACTTATGCAACAGCAAAGCGACAGTCGCAGCTATCCGTTGTCGTGGTGCCCATTGCCTGCACCCTTGTGGCCGTTTGTTTGGTCATTTTTGGAGTCGCCTATTATATGCAAAGTCGAAATCGGTAAGTAGTATAAATCCTAAGAACAAGCCCAACAAATAACTTTTCCTTTCTGTGGTCTCAGCTTTACGGTGGAAGTGGCTGATTTCAATTTTGGTGATACCCAGTCAGTGGATATGGAATACAAGACATTCCAGCAGCGTTTGATCGACAGCATACGCGATGCGTGGCCATGGCCGCGGTGGCGTCGGTATTCGCAGTCAAGCACGGATCTCATGGCCGAACAACCGTCTAATCCCGGTAGCTTTGGCGGAAATGTTGGCGACGTCGACAGCAATTTGCGCTATAATACTTTTAACTAAAGGCAAACGTAATTGCTTTATTGTTATTATTATTTAATCAATTTAATTTAAATATTCAACATAGTTTATAATTTTGATTTCTTTGCAATGGGAGCGTTTCATATTTTTTTTTTAGTCATTTGCACTGTAATGCATAGTATCCATCTTAACGTTTTCTTGTCGTCCTCCTAAAACAGTCTATCCACAAATTCCTGATCCTTTTCGTCCCCATTAACGCACACTAGCTCATTAATTGCCAAATGACTTGCAATATTCGATAGCAAATGGAGAAACTTTATGAACGCAATTGAAACTCTCATAAAATATTAAGACTGTCTTTGTTCTAAAAAAAAAAAAAAAAATAACAAAGGGAGACAGAAGGTAACTAACTTATGCTGCAGATCTGTTTTGTATTGCTAGCATATAATATCATGTTTGTTAACATAAGAACGTAAGGATACCTATCTCTCGAATCTTGATGACAAAGGCACAGCACATACATACATACATACACAAAAAAACCGAACACACAAAATATATTATTCATTGTGATAGAACTAACAGTATATTTGTATGTTAAAAACAATCAAACAAAAAAGAAGAAAAACTGGTCAATATGTAACGCTGCTAAAAGTACACGGTTAGTGCCGATCAAAAATAAGAGTCTAAATAGGATGACTTACAATTAAATACATATGTGTACATATACAATTATAATTATATCTAAATTATTGTTCTTAAATGGGTATTAAAATTATAAATAGATTTAAAAAATTCTAGCCTACATCAATTCTAATTTGAAATTGCGCAAAAATGCGTAGGCTAACGCAATATGCTCTAAAAATAATTGAGGCATATAAATTAACAGAAAATGTTATATTAACAGAGCACTTCCTATGAGCAATTTGGCATATTATGCTGAAACTAGTTCCGGAATTTGTTTGTGTTCTTTTCTTCGCTTAAAGATGTTTTTAAATGATCTTGGACAACCATTAATATTGGATTCTAAAAAGACATATGGCCCTTATGAACAAGTAAAAATAATCCTTGAACCTATTTTTATAATAAAAAAAATATACTTATAATAAACTAGCATAATGGACCAATGCTGATAACGTCGGCGGCGTTCCAGGATCACAAGGTTCCTTCTAATTGGTGTGGACGCATTATTGGCTCAGCAGATGATGTAGCTCGTTTCCAAGGTGTGTTATCCAAAACCTGTCAAAATCCTGTATATACAGTTTTAAGGCCCAACGAAGAAACGAATATCAAATATGATGAATCCAAAATCAGTTTGACATTGATACCAGCAGGACAAAACGAAGATACTGGAAGTGCTACCTTCTATTACTTAAAAAGTAAGTGACTCGGATTTTTAGATGATATAATAGCAGGTATTTTTTTTAGATGACTACATTAGATCACTAATAGCTGACAATTTGAGCGGCTATTTGGACTTTATACCAAAGGCAGGTGCATCGTTTCACCGTGCACTTGGGAATGGAATAGATGTCCTGTATTTTGATGACTCGTGTTATGCATCCGAGGAGAATGAGGCACAAGCTCAAAGAGAGTATATCTATACGCTAGTACAGTTATTAAGGCCAAAATACTTGTATGGATTAACACTAGACAAACTACCAAAATATTTGCTCGACTTGTGCGTCCAAAAGGATATGATTGATGTCAATAATATAAATACAGAAGTGCCGTAAAAATTTTAATTTACAAGGGAACGTTGGTTATTGGTAAATATCTAAGAGCTTTAACTAATTAAAACGCAGCTACCGAGCGTGTATTATGCCTTAGCTGCCTTAGCCTTGGCTTTCACTTTCTTAACGCGCTTAAGTCCATCCATTTTACTCTTCATAAATTGTGAGTACATCGCCATCATTGTGGGAACATCTTCCTGGCGAACTACTGTGGAAATCTAAAAAGAAATCTTTTATTCTGATATATAAATATATTGAAATATAAAATTGTGTTTACCTTTTTGGATTTGAATTGGGCACGCATTAAGCACATATACGTTTCGGGTTTCGGCAGTGGTTTCCTTCCTTCACGAGGTACAGGTCTATCATGCCCATCGTCTAATGTTGGAAATGGAAGCTCATATTGATTAGAGAAGTCACATGCGGACAGCCTGGTTACTTACAGCGTTTGAATGTCATCGTGAAGGAAGCATCCTTTCTCGCTTCATTGGCAATTTTTTCCAGGCGCAGTATAAACTGTAATTAGATGATATATTATTTAGGAATTTCACGGTTAATGTATTTATTTACGTTAGCATTGTCGAGCAAAACCATTTCGTGGCAGATCTTAGACCAGACGTAAAGTGACACTTGTGCGCTAGGGATTAATTAGTACATTATTGTATGGTGTAAAATCACAGACTATTAACAGACTGCTAAGTAACATAATTTCTGACGCACCAAAAAACCAAGAGCTGCCAACTTACATATGTTAAGTTGGCAGGGCTGGCATTCGGTCTTGCTTCGCCAAAAAAAAAAAAAAAAATTTACATTAAAAATCGTAAAATCCAACGAAAACTTACAAGTGCAGGCAATCGACTAGGCTGTTGAACGCCCAAACACTTCCACACGTCGCCATCATCACAGTCGCACTACTAACGCACCGAAGCTAGCACAACCAGCGTGCATTGGCTGATGGTGTAAGCAGAAACGATCGAACGACTCGACGACCGCCAAAGGAAGCGCCCTCCGCCCGCCCACGCCAGCAGCAGAAGCAGCCGTAGTAGGCAACGACAATAACAAATTGTAGCACAACCTTCAGGTCACTTAGCAGTAGTCAGCAAAAGGCATCAAACAACAAATTTTCAATTATGGTAAGCACGCCTCGCCGCCCATCGAAGTCGGTCTGAAGGATATGTTGACGCTGGATAAGTTGCAATGCACTAATGCACTCACATATGCATATAAGCACACGCACACGCACCCACACTGGCAAGGGACATGTGTACGATGAATAAGCAAAAGCCGCGCAACATCGCCATCACCGTAGTCAGCGCCGCTGCTTCTGGTGTTGCTATGAACTTTGACCGTAACATTGTGATTTCTTTCTTACAGGACGTGTTCCTCATGATCAGAAGGCATAAGACAACCATCTTTACGGATGCTAAGGAAAACACATCAGTTATTGAACTGAAACGCATGATCGAAGGCAAGTGTAGCAATATATCTAAATATTTATGCGTAGCGTATTCGCGCTTCTGTGTGTGTGTGTGTGCATGTTTGCGGGTGTTGGTGTATGCGTGTGCGTGTGTCGTGTGTTTAAGTGTTATTCCTATTTATAGAGCACATTTTTGATTATTAAGTAATTTTATAATCATTGGCAGGCATATTGAAAGTGTTACCCAGCGATCAGCGGTTATACAATCAGGACAACGATGTCATGGAGGATGATCAAACGTTGCAGGACTATGGCGTTACGGTATCAACGGCAAAGGCCCAAGCCCCAGCGCAGTTGGGCCTAACATGCAGGTGAGTTATGCTTGCTTCCCTTTCGCTGTCATTCACAGTTCGCGTTATGAAAGCCGCCCTTTGAGTCACTCTGATAAGCCGCTAATATTTTTATTATTTGTACATGTTAGAGATGAGCGCGTGTAAATTACTTTTTCATAACAAAATCATTTTTCTTGTTTGCTTAAAATCTAATATTAAACGATGCTTTAATGATACAGAAGACTCACGATTTTTTTTTTTTTTTTTTTTTTTTTTTTTAACAAAAAAGTTTGTTACGAATTTTGTTGTTGCTGTAGCTATTGAGCAATTATTTATTTCTGCGTTTGCATGCAAATTGCTCATTCGTGTTGAGGGGTCAAGAGTCTTCGTGCTCCACAATAAAGCACGACCTGGACTCAACTCTAGAACATTGTACATATGTTATCGGCCGACTCGCATAGTTCCACACGTGTGCCACATTTGTTATTGAGTTGACATTTTAATAATGTATTTTGCTTGCAGGAACGAGGCGGGCGACTTCGAGTCGCTGGAAATCACGCCCTATTCAGCCCCGCCTGACTTACCAGAAGTGATGAAAAATCAAGAGGCCTCAAATGGACAGGAGCAAGTGGCATAAAATCAACAGCAACAGTAACAGCAACATCAAGAACAACAACAGCAACAACACTTAAAGCCCCAAAATAAAACCATCAGAAAGAGCAGTTACCCACTTGGACATCGCCGCTGCTGCTGCTACTGCTGCTGTCGCATGCAAAGCAAAACCATAAATGCTGAGAGTCAAATTTACTATCGCTCGCTTGTCCCACACAATAACACAGTCAACAAAAAACTCTCTCGATGCAATGCTAAATGTTTCGAATTGTGCTACAGTTTCTTCTCTGCCTGGTCACACAACAACAAAAACACAACTAAAGCAACAGCAACAAAAATAAGAAAACAGCAACAATAGCTAATTATGTATGCATTTTTTCGTCGGTTATATAGCAAGGAACAATTTAAACAATATGATTCAAAATTATAATTTGAAATGGGATTTGTTAATCTAATTATTTTTTTTTATATATTACCTATTTGTTTGTTTCTTATGGAATTTGTACGAATTTGTCTAAGAGGAAAAAATAGATACTACACAAAATTTAAATGAAAACTTATGAAATGAAAGTCACAATTGAAATAGCTTATAACAATTGATAATTGAGCAAATGGTGAATATTTAAAATATTGGGATTTAAATTTATTATAATTTATAATCAAATTATGATTATTATTATTATTGTAATAATAAGATTTAATTATTATTAAAAAGAAAAAATCTACATTACTAATCACTATCATCCATTCCCGATCCGGCGGCCGCCGTCACAGCGGCCACTTCTGCATCGTTGGCATCTGTCGCCGCTCCATCGTCCTCCTCGGCGCTATCGATGAACGAGGCGTTGCTGCTCTGCTGCAGTTCCAAGTGCTCCAAGTACTCTTGCAACCTGTCCTGGAAGAAGTTGATGTACGTCTGTTTCTGCTGTGCCGTTGCTGGGAAATAATGGCCGCCGCTATGCTCGAGCACTTCCACATTCCTGAAGTGAGCTGCTAGTGATTCGCTCATCTCTTTGGGAATGATTTCGTCTGTCAAGCCATAAATGTGCAAAGTGGGGATTGTGATGCGTTCTTCGTAGGCGCTCATATGCACCAAACTACCAGAAATGAAGCCAGAGCTGAGGACAGCGAACTCAGGTCGAATGGAGGTCACTTTTGGGGAAGTGTATAAAATGTGTAATTAGTCCTGCAATGCGATCGATGTACTTACATTTCTTTTTGGCTAGTCCACATATGAGTCCCACAAAGCAGGCGCCTTGCGAGAAACCTAAAAGTCCTTGAAAGGGTCCCTGTGTCTTCCATACATCTTCGACGTAGCGTAAGCTCTCTTGGAATCCTAATGCCGGACCACTTCTGTTGGTACCTTTGAATGTGCCATCATCTTTGTTGGCCCACCAACTGCGCTGCTGCTCCACAGGCTCTGCCGATGGGTCCAGGGGCGCTGCTACGTGAGGGGCAGAAATAAACACAAACTCAGCGTATTTACCAGCGAATTTGCGAAAGGAGCCAAGTTTATTTTTAAATGAGTCCGCTTTAATAGGAAAATCAAATTAGCTTTAATATTAAATTAAAAATGACAAAGGCACCGACCATCTTGCCGGTATCCGTGCAGGCAAAGAACTCGCACTTTCTCTGTAATTTCCACTTTGTTGGCAGATGTTGAAGCACTGCCGCTTGCTCGACTCGAGCTAGCGGACTCTGATTCGTTGTTGGTCATTATGGAAATACGAGACGTAGCTGCAAAAAAAAAGCGCCACAAGTAAAACTACAAAAGTATTTTTAGGTTAAACTGATGAACAGCTGATATACCAAATGCTAGAGATGTGACTGTTAGTTCATTAAACGCTGTTGACCTGTGCTGGTTCAAAAAGCATCTGGTAATAGCGAAATAATTGGAAATTCCTTTCGAAAATTTTAATTACGTGTGACTCTTTCTTACACTGTGTGGCGCTATCGAAAAATACATCAGGGACATTTCATTATCATTTCATTTCATTTCAGTGTGGCGTCATCTCTTCTGAATTTACAGTATGCTGGCGCCATCTATTAAAAACACATTTTATTCAGCAAAAATGTTAACTTTACATTTTCAATCAGTATGCTGGCGCCATCTATTAAAAACACATTTTATTCAGCAAAAATGTTAACTTTACATTTTCAATCTGAAGGGATAGCCTTAAATATCCCTATAAGCATGGGAATTATTAGTTAACACACAAACCTTTACTTTTGGATATTTTATTACGAAATTTCCCGTATCTGTCCTACGACTGTATGAATAATACGTACATATATTTGAACGTTATCCGAAACGCAACGGACATTGTGTGGATTTCAAGTTGAATTATGAATGCAAAACAAATATTTTATATACAGCATTTCTTTTTTAATGTTAGTCGTTCAGAGCACTATTAATGCAATTAGATAACAATTCGTAACTAGAAAATTTCAATTTAAAAATGTTAATAATATTATAAATACAGTTACAAGTTGGACCGATAGGAGAGCACACGTTCTCCATCTTGCTCGCACTCCTTCACAATACCACAAAGCCCTACAATGGGACTCTTCACATTCCCGCATCGTAATATTAATTTGGTGATTTATTAGCAAACGGCACTTCAGGCGTCGGCGATAAATTGTAATGCAAATTAAATGAATGCTTGCGTATTTCACATTTCATTTTGGCCATTGTTGAGGTCGAGCTTGAAATGTTTTAACGCTCGTAAATTGGTGCAGGCATTTGCCAGTTATGCGTAAATTGCAAATATTTATGTGCTACAAACTATTGTTGCAATTTTGTGTACACACGCACATGTGTGTGTGTATGTGTGCAACCAAATTAATAGAAAAATGCATTTCCGACTGCAACTCATTACGAATGGAAGTGAATTCCACAAAAACGAAGGAAGCAACTATGTACATATATAGTTGTACAATATTACAGTATATATATTTGTATATAAGTTTATGTATATGTATATATGTATAAACAACCCATCGAGCTACCGCAAATGCACAGACCACTCACTCAGAGGCAACCACACACTGGGAGTCGATAGAAAACTGTTAAATATTTGATGTTGCTGCTATTTCACGCTTGTAAATCACAAACAAAGCCACAGACAGCCGGTCAGAGCAGCTTTTAAATGCGAATAAAACCAAAAAGTTGCTGTATCTGTATCTGTAAATGTATCTGTATCTGTATCTGTATCTGTATCTGTATCTGTATCTGTATCTGTATCTGTATCTGTATCTGTATCTGTATCTGTATCTGTATCTGTATCTGTATCTGTATCTGTATCTGTATCTGTATCTGTATCTGTATCTGTATCTGTATCTGTATCTGTATCTGTATCTGTATCTGTATCTGTATCTGTATCTGTATCTGTATCTGTATCTGTATCTGTATCTGTATCTGTATCTGTATCTGTATCTGTATCTGTATCTGTATCTGTATCTGTATCTGTATCTGTATCTGTATCTGTATCTGTATCTGTATCTGTATCTGTACCTGTATCTCTATTTATGTCTGCCTCTGCATTAATATTTGTGTCTATAACTACATCTATATATATATCTGAGATACGTCTGTTTGTGACTATGTCCTTATCAATTTGTGCATTTCTATCCGTTTCTGCCATCTAGAGAAATGTGGTTATGTGGTCAGGGCGACAGACAAGAATGCACTATGAATATTTAAATGAAATTCCATCGACATGATCTTGGTACCGTGTGCAAGAATTTGCAAGTATTTGCCAGGTGTTGCCATTGGAGAATTCACTTTTCGCACGAAATGTACAGCATTTAAATGGCGTTAACTAAATTAATAGCCATAAATCACATTTAGTGCATTGCCATCTGCCCAGGGCGTAAATACATCTCTCTGAGCATTTTGACTGGGTTTGGGGCATGTTTGTTTTGTCAACTCCGAATGACTTATTGCTCAGGTGTTGATGAGTTTATTGGCCTTGCGGCCAAAATAATGCGTCAATAAATTTTAATATAAACCAAACAATTAAATTCTTCTGTAAAAAATTCTAATTGCCCTAATTGATGGGCAGCCTTTAAATAAATGGTTTATATATAAATTGATGGAATTATAGACTCTCCCATCAGCTCTCAATGAGCACAATTTCTTTTTTAGTGCAGTAGGCCAACTTCTGCTCTGCTGACCACACAGGAATTTTTAATCCCAAACCAAATGCTTTGCTTACTTAGTCAGAGTTGAAGCCCTCGTAGCTAGCACTTTATTATTAAACACAAGTTTTAATTTGTGGAAAAAAATACATGCAAATAGAAAAACGTGCTTATGCTCAGTCAAACGCCTCTTTAATTGTATCATGATGCTGATTTCCGCTAAATTAAGAATTATTCTGAGCTTTGTTTTTCAACTTTTGTTTTCCAAGCATACGAAATTTTAACAACAAATCAATTTTTTTTGTCGCTGCCAGATTGCATTTAACGTGACTCAACTGCTAATAGCCATGTTTAATAAATAAACCCACTCAGACTGGCCCGAAAGTAGCCAGCTGAGCTGAGGGCAAATGCCGTTGGCGTTGTTTTGCATGAGCTTTTTTATGTATGTGCACATAAACAAATATGTACATATATATGTAATTGGCAGAGTATATCTATATTAATATATACAATCATATACGTTTTGTTATATTTATGTTTTATTAAAACATAATGTACCTGAGCTTATTCATTGTTTGTATACACAGCGAGTAATTATTAAGAAGCAAGAGAGCAGGATCATAATAGTAAGTACTGATAAGTGCTACTAGGCAGCAGCAGTTACTGCAGGCTTAAGCAAGCTCAAGCAGATATCATAGCTAGGTCCGCATGGCGCAGCCTTCTATTGAACATGAAATAGAATTATTTTCGAAAAGAGAGAAAGAAAGGCGAAACATGCAATCGCAAAGCGAACGCGCCTCTGTGAGCATGCAAACAAAATAATTGCTTAAAAGCAATTATTATTTAATTAGCAGAGCAGAGCATAAATAAATACAAAAAAAAAAAAAAAATAAAAAAAAAGAGAAAAAAGCACGCCCACAGAAGGCGAATGGCAACAAAGGCGGCGTCGAAATGTGGCACAAGTGGGCAGGCGCAAAGCAGCGAGGGACGGCGAGCATATTGGGGGAATAGAGTAAAATGAAAATGAAGTATGCCATTAAAATCGATCTCATTACTTAGCAACCGGGCGGGCAGCCACAGAAAGTCCAGCGACTGCTGCAGTGCAGAGGGGCGAAGCGTAAGCTGGTCCAAAAGTTTAATAACTGAAAATGCTCAAAACACAAAAACCTCAAAAGTAAAGAGTGGGACAGGCCGCCCCAGCGGAAGCATATAACAGTGTAGGTAAGTTAAGTAAAAGATAACTGGTCCTCTAAGACCAGCATAACGGAGGCCATCTTTGAGCTGCTGCATTTCCGGCTACACAAATGGAAATGTA